ATGTGATTTCTTATGAATTTTAGATTATATATTTATTGTATCAATGTATATGTTCATGTGAATATATGTGTGCATGTGAGATAAAATCTACAAGTTACAATATTTTCATGCCATAAACAATAAAGCTCATTTTTTAGATATTTTAAAAAACAAATCTAATCATATAATTTTTTTTGATACAACAATAACAAACTTTATCTTACTAAGTGAAGTAAGCTACATAACTTATACGATATCACTGTGCTTTATCCTTTATTTATTAAACTTTTAGAAATAATACTAAAAGCATACATTAAACTTCAAATACTTCTTCTGTTAAAACATTTTTTAAAGGGTTGGAAGACATTTTTAACTTTTCAAAGTGTAATCATTATCTTTTTTTCAAGAGTGCCCTATTAAATAAATCACTTTATATTTATTTTAGGGTGAAACACTTATTAAATAGGAGTAAATATTAAAAAAAGATTAGTTTAAAGATAAATAACTTTTTTATTGGAGGGATGAGATTTGATTAAAAATATTTTATATTTTTAAATGGAGAGAGTATCTTATAACTCATCAAGTTCAATAAGAGTGGAGGATCCCTCATCATTCTCCAACACTTTTTAAAAATATAAAAATTCATATCAAAGGTGTAAGAAAATTTAGCAAATCTATCAGCCATTACATTCCTTTCCCTACAAAGATGAGATAACTCTTAAGTTTCAATCTTTATGAAACAACATCCTTGTGTAAGCAAGAATGCATTTGAACATTGCATCCCCTGGTTATTAGATTAATGGCCTCAACACAATCTAAAAATGTATGAACATTCCCTTAACCATAGCTCCAACATATATTAAGTCCTTCTGGCATAGCAAGAATTTTCTGCAATAGCTGGAAGTACAATAACAGTACATTACGTATGTAATATTTTAATAATTTAGATAAAATATAAAGAGAATATTTACATAAAAAACTGTATTAACATGTTTAATATAATTTTTTTAAAAATTATAATAAATTTACTTATATTATTACAATTTTAGTCCTAGTGATGTAATTATTATTTTTAGTTATTTAAATTATTAAATCTTGCATCTCTGACTTTAGGTCTTGGCTCTACTATTGGTTCATCATGTACTCAAAAAAGATAATCAATGTACAAACTGGCTAGCTAATTGAAGTTTTGGTCAAACTTAATTCAACTGTTACAAGATCCTATGGAGGGCCTGGGCGAAATGTTGTTGCCCATCCTATATTAGTATGGTGGAGATGGGTTTAATACATGAGAATGATGTGAAATAAAAAAGTATGGGAACAAAATTAAATAAATTTGGAAGAAAGATAATAAAGTCCCCAAACTTAAAATTTATGATAAATAAGTCTCTAATAAAATTTTCTAAAAAATAAGTTATAAATATTGATTCAAACAATTACAAATAGAGAGTTATATTTAAAATATAAATGTCTCATTTGTAGTCAAAACTCTAAAATTTATGACTATTTAAATCAACATTTATAAATAATTTTTCAGAAAATTTTGTTGGAGATATAACTATCATAAATTCATTATTTTGACACTTTACTGTCATTTTCCCGATAATTTTTAATTTTCAACTCACCAAAGTAAAACTGAGTTTAATATGAATTAACCTATTTAACCCTTCACCCAAGTGGAATGACCTATTATTCTTAACATATCGATTCTTCAATAAAGAAGTGAAAAGATAATTTGTTTGTATTATTGGGACAAGATAGATGCAATGACTTGGGTCCAGATAATGCAAAAAAAAAAAAAAAGTGGGTGCAATATGAAAAAGAGAGAAAGAAGTTGTTTTATTAACCCAAAAAGAAGATAAAAAGGGGATTCAGAACTAAAATGAAAACTGGTTTGACACAAAAAAGAACAGAATTTTGTGGACACCCATTTGGGTAGTTAAAGTTGTTGGGAGATATCTTCCATACGGATTGTTTTGTTGTCATTCCTTTGAGACAGAGAACTGCCAATCATACGCATTTCAAAATTTGAATATACGTGTAGGGATATTTAATTTTCTGTTTACCTTTATTTTTATAAAAAAAAAATTATGCAACTATGCAATATATAAAACATTGTCTAATTCATTAAAAAATTTTAAATAAGAAAACCATTATCAGTATAAAAATATATAACAAGTTGTTATATTGATCAACCCTCATTAAATGTTGGTGAGGTAAAGTACATTATTAATATAGATATATATATATATATATATATATTTAATAAAAATAAAATTAAAAACTTATTAAATTTTGGATAAATAAGTAAATTATTCTTGAACTTTAGATTCAATAACATTATAGATCCTGAACTCATTTATTATGTAAATTGTTTCATCAACTTTTAAAAACGGTGTAATCTGAGTTTTACCATTAACAAAAGTTAACTTTAATTGTTAGTTGATCAAAACATGACAAAAAAAGATCAAAACTTTTGGTCATTGTTTATAATTTTTGATTTTTTATTATAGTTTTTTGGTATTTTTTTTATAATTTTTAAGGTCATTTTCTAATTAATTAATGATCAAAGTTAACGTTTATTAACGGTAGGGGTCACATTGCACGTTTTTAAAAGTTGAAAAAATAATTTACACGATAAATATGTTTAGAATTTATGGTGCTACTTGACTTAACACATAGGAAGTAATTTGCTCATTTATTCTTAAATTTTTAAAGAGATTTAATGTATTTTAAAATTTTCTTCAATTTTGATAAAACATATTAAGTGAATTGTGAATAAGAATAAAGAATAATATTCCATCCCATCCATTCAATACTATAAGACATTTTTTTTTCAAATTATCATGTTAAAAAAAAAGGCATTAAGGGTCATACAAGGTACAAATAATAATTTTTTTTAAAATACCCCTAATTAGGGGTGTAACTAATAATATTTTTTTGGTTGAAATATCTTTATAAAGGTAAACATGAAAAGAATGAATAATTTTAAAAATAATTAAGGGAGAATTTTAACTAAAAACTAAGGATATGATTTAATTACTAGTGGGTCTTTAAAAAAAAAAAACTTCATTTCAACATAGGAGGACTGAAATGAAAACAATTTGATTGTTTGAAAGGATGAGAATCAAATGAATTAAAAAAATAACAATAAACTAAATCATCATTCCTCCTCATAGTAAGCATGAAAAATTTATTTAAATAATTATGAGGATAATTTAGTTGGCTAAAGCATATTTTTGATCCTCTAACTTTATACTCCCTCTGTTAAAAAATGTAAAATATTTTTTGAGAAGTTGGATATTCAAAAATATAAGGCATTTTTAATTTTTTGAGATATAATAATAATTATTTTTTCAAAAGTGTCCCTATTGATAGTAATTTTATATTTATTATAGGATATTTAATAGAAATAAATACGAAAAGATAGGGTTATTTTAAAAGTAAATAATCACTTTATTGGGGATGAAATTCGGTTAAAAATGTATTACAGTTTTGAACAAAGGGAGTATGAGATTTTAATTTAGTCTTTTAATTTTGTTTGATATTTTTTAAGTCTTTTAACTCTAACATCATTAATTTTAAATAATTATTTTTTATATTAATTATTATTATTTTAAAAAAATTAAATTTAATATGTCAACATTTAAAAATATTTTATCAATATTTTATTTTGAAGTTTAACGTAAAAATTGCCTGTGATGAAAATAGAATTAAGGGATTAAAAGACACTTAATAAAATTTAAGAGCCAAAATAAAATTTGATATAAAATTAAAAAGATTAAAATTATACTTTAACTTGCTTTAGTTCAAATTTTTTAAATTCAAATATAATTATTATATTTAATTTATTTTTTTAAACTGTATAGTTATAATACATTGATTATTTTTTTTATATTTAAAAAGGACGCAGTAAAAATAGGTGCCCTTTCCTTTTACGGTCGAAAAAACAAGTGTCCGACTGTCCTTCATTCATTATCCATATTTCCTCTGTGAGAGAGAGAGAGAGAGAGAGAGAGAGAGAGAGAGGCGCCCAACATCACAAGCTTTTAAGAGAGGTTGTTGGCGATGACAGAAGCAATCACAACACCACAGCAGCGATCCGGTCACAGAGAGAGAGAGAGAGGCCTTGGAAAAAGCAAACTCTACCAAGCAGCTACGCAGGCACCGAATTTCGCTTTCACCTTCGCCCACCATTACATTAGCAAGCTACATTTTACATGTAAAAAAAAAAAAGAAAAAAATTTATATATTTAATGCTTTTTTTTGGCCAAAAAAATATGCTTAGTACTTTGATTTAATTTAATCAGTATAAGAAAAATTCTCAGTGTTAATAATAATAATAATAATAATAATAATTTGTTATATAATAAAAATAAAAATATATAAAAAACAACATCAATTAATTTGATTGGACATAAGCATCTTATCATACAAAATTAAGTGTATAATATAAGATAATAAATTGATAAACATTAAATTTAAGAGACTAAAACAGTATTTGAGAAAAACTTGAATAGCTAAAAAATTTATTAATTAAAAATATTAATTATATAAAAACTAAATACTTTGTGGATTTTAATAATTTCATACTCCCTTCATTTATAAGGAAAAAATATTTTTTAATTGAATCTCACCTTTTAATAAAATAATTATTTATTTTTAAATTAATTCTATCTTTTTACGTTTATCCCTATTAAACAGTTACAATAAATACAAAATCATTCATTAATAGGGTTACTTTAAAAAAAAATAATGATTATATTTTAAAAAATTAAAAATATAAATATTTAATTTTTTAAAAAATATTGTATATTTTTAAACGGAGTAAATATATGAATGTATTAATTGATTTTTTATTTACTAATTTTATTTTTTTACGTAATTTCCGAAAAGTGAAGGGTAAATTTCGGCATAAAAAAGAGGAAAACAACAGTTCGTCTCTTCCGCACACTGTCCCTCGCGTCCTCACTCGCACTCACTGATCTCTGCCAAATGACACAGGAAAAAAGCTTTGCGAGGAGCAACAAGCCAAAACCCAAATTCCATAGGGTCCATTTCTCTCTCTCTCTCTCTCTCTCTCTCTCTCTCTCTCTCTATACCTTCTTCTCTGTCCTACTGTGCCTGGGTTGTCCTTGATTGAATCAGACAAAAGGCTTCCTCACTGTATACTCCTCTCTTCTCCCACCACCCCCATGCCATCTCTGTTCTATCTCTATCTGCCAGCTCTCTAACTTTGGTTCCTACCAATGTGTCTCTGTAAGCATCTTTTGGCTGTTGCCCCTAGAGTAAATCGGTGAATTCTCGCTTCTTCTCATGAAAATGGGTCGAAAATGCTGGATAATAGTCACCGTTTCGTATAATTCGGTGTAGTTCTCTGTGTTTTGTGTGTTCTGCGTCGCTCCTTTACTACCCTGTGCAGAATCAAAAACCTGTGAAAACAAAATGAGGAAGCATGGATGGCAACTTCCGTACCATCCTCTCCAGGTGGGTGATCTAATTTTAATTTTTACACGGTTTGCTTCTTTTGTTTCATGGGGTGTTATCGTTTGACGTAATTACTGTTTGAGTTCAGGTGGTGGCGGTTGCTGTGTTCTTGGCTCTGGGTTTTGCCTTCTACGTGTTCTTCGCTCCTTTTGTTGGAAAGAAGATGTTTCAATTCATTGCAATGGGCCTGTACACACCTCTGGTAACCCGACCTTCGTTTCCCCCCTTTTTTCTGTACTCATTTTGCTTCATTTCTAAGTTGGTGGGTGGAAGGGATGAGATCTGCAAGTATTGCTTTTTAATTCGTGTTTGAGTCCGTGTATGGGTGGTCTTCATCGCTGTTTGGATTCCTTCATGTAGCTAGATAACTTAAGTCGGCTGTGGAGTGCTGTAATGGTTATTGACGAAGGCTATATATCTGGTTGTTAATTGTTATCACTCCTGAAGTCTCTTTCTATCAACTCCTACCCCTTAATTCTCCACCCCCCTTTCCAAAAGAAATAGCCATTTCAAGGTATGCATGCTAGAATTGAATTCCTTGTAATTTTACGTCATCATCCTGATTTCCAATTCCTGTGTCCTTCTCCTTTTCTCTGAATAATAATATTGGACTTTCTGTTCATCGGCTTTCCAGGGACAGACATGCTATAAATTCTCAATAACTTGAAGTGTCAAACTGACTTTTGTAATTCCGGGGGGGCTGAACTATTTGATATCAAATGCACTTCTGAATGTCTCAACAATCCTGGCAATCAATCTTTATGTATCTGGAAGAAACCCTTTGTAGAAGGACTAAGCTGATTGGAAGTGCCTGTTTATGTAATGACAATATAATTGTGGGTGATATCAAATTTTGTTTTTCATTGCGGATATGAACAACCAATTGGTTTTTGATACCCGGCAACATATGCTGCTGCCTGCTGGGTTGACTTCTTGATGCCTGGACTTACATTACTAAAGTTATTGAATGAGACATCCATGGATGGTAGTGAAAGCTTTATCTGTAGGTGGCTGCCCACAACCATGACAAAATCATTTGCATATCCTGAATTTTTCATCATGATGAGTTATGGAACCAAATGGAAACAACTAATAGTTCAGAATATATTATTGCTGAATGAACTTGGATGATTGTGAGTAACATACCATTCCAATTTCTATTAGGTCAGCCAACTGGCCCAAATTGAATTTAAAAATATTCCCAGGGGGGTTGAAACTTTTGGATTTGTTGCTTAGAAGAGGTAGCACAGATATTTTGCTTCCAATTTGATGGCCTAGCCATGTGATTTGTGATACCAAATTAGCAAAACTACTGTGATTTACTAAGATTTAATGGAAACCTATGCAATAATTGCTGTTGAGCTGCTTATTAATATGAATTGTTTGTGTGGATCCCTGATCATGAGATGCAATAAAATCGTTGATTTGGACTGAATAATCAGTAACCCCACGTGGGGATGATTCAGTGAGTTGGTTGGTGAATTGTAGGTTTTCTGTGAACTGAGATGCAGGAGGAAACTAATCAGCAATCAAAGACAGGATTATAAATGTCTTTGGGAAGGATTTGGTGTAGATTGGCTACCCTTTGTTGTCTCTTCATGTCTTTTAGGAACAAAGCTGCATTAAGTCTTCATGGTGAAAGGAATAAACAAGTTTTTTTTTTTTTTGGGTACGCATGTGCACACACGCATGATCTGTAAGCAGCCAAGTAATATCTTGTCTTAGACACTAGAGCTTTACTTTCATTGTTAGTACAGATTAAACATAAAATAACATTTGACATACGGCTGGAACTCTGAAGAACATGATTGATATTGGTCATGTCACATGTGGTGTAGTCTTTTTCTGTTCTTTGTTTTGTTCCTGTTTCGTTTTTTATTTCCTCTTGTGTGTGTATATATATATATAAATTGACTTCTATCTAATGTGTCATGTGGTGTAGTTCTTGTTCGCACTCTTGCTGCTCCTGCCATAAAAAATTATGAAATTGATGTTGCTCCACATCATTCTGTTAGAACTGACCGTGATCTGGTTGTTTAAGTGCTTGAAACAATTAATTGTAAAACATTTTTATTCAGTATTGTAACAAGTATGTATTTTATTGTTCGAAGGGACTTGTAAAACAGAATGATGGTTACTTTGCCTTTATTTTAAACTGCATGGAGGTCATGATCAGTTTATCATTTTTCAGTTATGTTTCATCTTTTTTCCAGATTACTTGTGTGTTTTGGCTATACATTTGGTGTGCGGCAGCTGATCCTGCAGATCCAGGGGTCTTTAAGTCCAAAAAGTATCTAAAACTTTTAGACAATAAAAAGCTTGCTGTGCAGAAAGATTCTAAACTTGGGGGGCAATCAACTTCATCAATCCATGATGCAAATGCTTCTACTGTTGAAGGAAAATCTGTTGATAAGGATGCACTGAGCACAGAAGCAAGTTTGAAAGATACAGCTACATCAATGGAGCAGAATGCACCATCACCTCGTTCATCCTGTTTAATGTTGGTGTGCTCTCCCTGTGCTTTTATCTGCGGGTGCTCCAGTTCAAGTGAGGAGTCCTCGGATCTGCAAAAAAGTGAAGATGGCATGTTTTATTGCAGTTTGTGTGAAGCTGAGGTCTGTGAAAGCAATTTTTACTTAGATTTTGTTCATCCAAGAAAATTTATGGAATTCACTTTATAAAACACAATATGGCTTACTTCAACAGTCAGATGTGCCATTCAGGCATTCACGCTCTCTGATATCACGGCTCACTATATTACTTATCTCATGTTTCGCTTGGAATGCATGTAAAGGAGTTTACATTTTGAAAGTTTCATCCTGACAATTTTGATTAGTAGTTTACATCATAGAAGTATATTATTGTTTCAGGTCTGCAAATTTAGCAAGCATTGCAGAGTTTGTGACAAATGTGTTGATCGCTTTGATCATCATTGCAGAGTATGAATCTGATCTCTCATTTCTTTCCATATTATTTGTTGTGTGATTTTAAGACCTGTTTATTTTTTTGGGTTTTTGCAGTGGCTTAACAATTGCGTAGGGAAGAAAAACTACAGACAATTTTTCACTCTTATGGTTGCTGCTCTCCTCTTGGTAAGCAAGATTGTTCACCCTATGCCTTTTCCATGAGACCTGCCTCTGGTCCTCTGTTTAAAAGTCTTCCATTCTCAATAAAATCTTCAATCCTCTCAGAAGCTTCTTTAGTCCCCTGTTAGAGTGAATGAAGCTCATGACATGGTTTGTGAGAGTATAATCTTAGATGTGGTTTGGATAATGAAGAATGTGCGTTTTGATTTATAATTTTAGGTTTTCCCGTCACAAGAGTGTATAATGTGCCTTGAAACACACAATCTCCCTATTCGTCTTTTGTCTTTGGGTCTTATCAAGTTCAAATTCTTGTCTCTCATAAGGTAGTTACACCATCTTATATCTGTCTGTTGTTCTTAAAAGCAACATGCCACAACCTGAAGGCCACCTCAGAGGCTCAGAGTAAGCTTTTAGTTTTCCTGGTCATTTTCATTTGATTAATTATTGACAGGTATATACATGGTTTGTGCACATTGGGCTTGAGATTGCAGTTTATTCTTCAATGGTCGACTGGAGTATTTGTGCTTATCCGATGTTTTCTTGAGAGGAAGCAATTTTCTGTGGATGTTAGCTCCAAGTTGGGAAGCAGTTTCTCTCTCGTACCATATATTATTGTGGTGGTTAGTATTCTGCATATCTTTTTGATGCATGTTTTGTAAATACTGCTATTACAATGGGTTATCTACTTCCGCATGCTGTTTTTTCAGCGGTTCTTCATGTCATCTTTAGCTTGTTTCTTTTTGAAATGCCCTTGGCTGCCATTTCCAACAACAGCATATTGTTTTCACAGGTTGCCTGCGTCATTTTGGCTATGATTGCAACATTGCCTCTTGCTCAGCTTTTCTTCTTTCATATCCTTCTGATTAAAAAGGTAAGATTGGTAGCTTCTTGTTACTTTTATCTGATTTTACATTTCAATTCAATTGCGAAGCATTGTTGTTATTCATGTATGGGGCTGCTTGTTTCTGAGTTTCACTGTCTGGGATGAAACGGAGAATACAATATAATGATGGCTCGAATTTTGTAATGTGGCTGTAAAATTCTTGCAGTTGCTTAAGCTTTTAAGATGTTATACAAGAGGCGACATATTAGTTTACCATCATTCCAGTCCTTTTTTTTTTCCCTTGTCAAGTTTGTTATTGTATTTATGCACAATGATATTTTAGTGAGCTAATTATTGAATTTGTTGTTGAGCAACACAGGGAATCAGCACATATGATTACATTATTGCCCTGAGAGAGCAGGAACAGGAGCAGCAAGGAGTTGGAGGCCAGCAAAGCCCTCAAATGTCACCTGTCAGTTCACTTACTGGATTAAGTAGTGCAAGCTCCTTTACTACTTTTAACCGTGCTGCTTGGTGCACACCCCCACGCCTCTTCGTTGAGGATCAGGTATTTTTTATGATCAATGCAAGTTTGCTTTCATATGATTGTCTTTAAGGTGTTTCTTTTCTATACTACCAAAGGACTTATTCTTCCTAAACCAGTTTGTATAACTTCTTAGAGCAAAGTAAAAATATTATCTATTATCTATATTAAGTGTGGAGTTTGCTGCTTTGTTCTGGAGGCTTGAACTTACTGTGCTCCTTGCAGGGCAGTTTTTTTTTTTTTTTTTTTATAAAATTCTTTTGGCTCTATTTTTTAAATTGAGTTGGCAGGAAGGGGTCCTTGTGCTGCCAGCACAGGGTCCACTTTTAGTTTCTTAGATACTGCGTGCAAAAGTATGAGCATAACCTTGTGTATCTGCTTCATAAGTACTTAACTTTCTTCAATGGCGCTTGGCTCTTGATGGGATGCATTATGAATGTGCAATTCTTTTTTAAGCAGAATCCAATTAATGCCTTCCTGGTAGTGCTATGTGCTGATTTATTACTTGCGTTGTTTAAGACACTTATGGGCCTGGTGCACTCACACAGAGCTATTACATGGTTTGACATTTGGTATAAATATAGCGCTTGGCTATAATGATTCATGATAACTCAACAAATTGCCAGCACTGTGTCTGCGACACATCAATCAAATTTCTGCCATGAATATATTATTAATAAAAATGACCCGTGATTCTGCTTGTCTTTTCTTCTCCTGGTTAAAAAAATGTTGCCCCTCTCCCTCTTAACATTTCTTTTTCTTTTTTCTTTTTTTTGGGGTGGGGTTGATAGTTTGACGTAGTGCCCCCAGAAACAGGTTCAGTAAGTTCATTCGGAAAGAAGGCAATGAGAGAAGAGGCAGTTAAGAAAAAGAATCCTGGAGCTGTCAAAATTAGTCCGTGGACATTAGCACGATTAAATGCAGAAGAGGTTTCCAAGGCTGCCGCAGAAGCAAGAAAAAAGTCCAAAATTCTGCAGCCTGTGATGAGACAGAACGATGATTTGAGGCTCGAACCAGACAGCACATTTGGTGGCAGCAGTCGAAGAATGGTCCCCAGAATCGATAATAACAGAAAACGAGCAAGCAAGCGGGTTCGCTTACCAGCTGAACTACCAATGGGTTCCCTGGCAAAAGCTTCTGCCAGTAATTTTGGCAAGGGCTTCAGTGGAATGTCAAGTTTAGCTCCTCTCCAGTTCGAAGCACGTAGCGCCTTTCAAACAAGTCAAACAATATCCAGCTCTGTGGGTGGTGTTGTTTCTTCACCTGAAAGCAGTTTAGACTCGCCAGATATACACCCTTTCCGAGCATCTTCATCAGGTACTGAGGAAACAAGACAGCTTGCCGGTCTTCCAGCTGTGAGTGCATCAGCTTTGAAGGGAATCCGACAATCGAATTCAACTAGTGATGGATATGAGGCCTCCGGTGGGGAAGATAGTGATCAGGTTCAAACTAGAATTGTTCAGAGATCAACAAATTGGACTAACCTTCTCTTTGGTGCTGATGAAGATGAGAGGGCTTATAATCCAAAGTCGTCGTCATCTTCTAGCCTGGTTCAGATCAGAAAGCTGTGACTGATGTTTTTCATTACTAAATTGATGGGAATTGATTGCCATTTTTTGATTTGTGAAGCAAGGTTTTTACTTCAACATCCCTTAACGATCAGCTTTTGGAAATCAAAGTTGAGCCTTTGAGAAATTTTGGAATAACCAATGTACAGAAGTTTTAGGTCAGACTTCAGAGGGACTGACAAGGGCTTGAAGATACTTACTGCTATTTCCCCTGTAGTTAATTAAAATGTATGAAGCATTTCCTTATGGATGATTTCTGCTGACTCCTGATTTTTGCAATTTATGACCAAGACAGGTGACTCTATTAACGATGTACTCCCCCCACAACACTCCCCAAAAAAATAAAAAAATAAAAATAAAAATAAAATCTTTATGACCGTGTTGAAATTGTCTCCATCTGAATGAGTAAGCACACTGTGACCGGTTCAAATCTCTTTGAGATAATGTTGGCTTGATGGATTTGAATTTAAATGTGGATTTATATATTTGGATTGGTGGATTTAAATTCAGTTAGAGGTTGGGGATATTGTTGTGAAAGCAAAAAATTTAGATGTTGGATTTAAGTTTTTATATTTAAAATTTTATTTAAAATCCATGTATTTAAAGGGTTATATGGGGAGTTGGCTCTTGCGTTATAGGTTTAGAAGTATTTGGGACCCTGTCCAATTTTTGCAAATAATACAATGTTGTTTTTATCATTAACAAAAGGTAATTTCAATTGTTAATTGAGAGAAAGGGGTAAAGAAAATTTCTTGGTTGTTTTTAGAAATTTTTTGGGTTTTTGTTCATAATTTTTGAATTCTTAACTATAATTTTCTTAGTCTTTTTTATATGGTTAACTAACTATTGAAGTTAACTTTTATTAATGATAGGATATTGTTAAAGTTTATATTAACTTTGGCTTTGATTTCTTAAAATGTCTTGTAAATAAGAACATAAACTATCTAAAAGTGGTCTTATAGAAAGAAATGGATGGAGTAAATGAAGTTTATAACAAGTCCTTATTTGTGAGACAGAATAATGTAACTTCAATCAAATTCTATATAATGCATGGGGAAATATAATTAATTAAAATTAAATCTAAGGGAAAAATTATGTAATCTCACAATGAATGGTAGTATGTTAATGACCTTACCTAGTATTTGAACAAGTGATGTGAAATGTTGGTTGACTTATTTTATATTTTAAGGTTAAGGGTCAAAAATATCATTGAAGTACACATGAAGGGTCACAAATGACTTTAAATTCAATATTGAGTCATTTATATCTCTTAACTTCACAAAATCATTGCTCTATTACCCTGATGTTTAGTCACTCTAATGATTTTGTCTTCGTGCTGATGTGTACAAGTTTGGTTGACCAACCATGTACATGTGGAAAGTTGAGAAAGACACATGGATGATCTGCGTAGAGGAGCTGATCGAAAGGGGTAAAAAACCTTAGTCCCTCTAGTATGTTCTTTCTCTTTCTCTTTCTCGAGTATAGAGGAGAATCAGAGATAGAAGAAACATTTGCACGAGCGAGGATGTGAGGACAACACATGTGAAATCTAATTGGTGTGCAGAGAATCGTATTAGAAATCAAGGTAAGAAATATGTAAATTTCGCATATTGATTTCTCATATAAGCCCTTGAGTTTGTGTTGGTAGTTTTCATTATAAAGATGGGTCCTAGCCGTGATAGGACATCTAACAATGGCGGTAATGTAAGTCTGCATAAGTTGAGTGTGGAGGAGTACTTTTTGTTAGTAGATGATGCAGTGAAAATGGTTGAAGCAACCAAGAAAAGTTTTGTGCATAAGGGTTTAGAATTAGAGAAAGTAGTAAAGATAGGTGATTGAGTCGAGGAAAGGGATTAAAAAGTGATGGGAGTGTCAAGCAAATCTTTGATGAGGACCATGAGTTTGAGAGAGAATTTGATAGCTCAGATGTTGAGGGGGATGATGAACAGAAGGGAGTCAAAAGAGGGGGAGATGAGATTGAGGAAATTGATGCTTCTCAATTTACTGAGAAGGATACATTTGATGATAAAGTGATTGAAGCTTACTTGAATTGGCATAAGAAGCATGAGAAATAGTTGGAGAAGACAAATAGAAACATAAAGTATTCATTTGCTGACATAGAGAATCTGAAGAGAAGTATTGGACAAAATTATATGATTGATGAGGATAGTGGAGGTGAAGAGGAGGCACTTGAAAGTGAGTCAACTTGTAAAGATAACACTAGTGAAGATAGTGAATACATTGGGCATTAAGATTAGATCGATGTAGTCATAGTGAGGACAATGATGATCAAGAGGAGGAAGTGGGAGATAAGATGGGCCCAAGCAATATAGATAGGCCTGGATTTGATGTTAGAGGGCTTCAGGATGAAGACAGGCCTTTCTTCATGTTAGGCATGACGTATAACAATAGAGAAGAGTTGAAGTAGGCCACAAGCAAGTATGCCATAACCAAGGATGTGAATGTGACCTATATTAAGAGTGAGCCATCAAGGGTCAGGGCTAAATGTATGGAAGGATGCCTATTCTTACTCTTTGCTTTTGTGGATTGAAATTCACTTGGATTGAAGATTAAGACCCTTTGTATGGAACAAAGATGCGTAAGGGTCTTTAAGAACCTTAGAGCCTTAGTTAACTGGATCGCAGAGTGCTTCAAAGATAAAGTCTAAAAGAAGCCACAGTACAAGATTTCCAACATGAAGAAAGATCTAGAGCATTACTTCAAGTTGAGTGTGAGCCTGCAGAAGTGTAAAAGGAGGATAATGTATGAACTGGAAGGGAGTTATAAGGATGAATTTTCAAAGCTTGAAGCATATTGTTGTGAATTGAGGGATTCAAATCCTAGATCTGACATAAGCTTATAGTTGAGCAAAGAAGCTACAGATCAAGAAAGGAGGGTCTTTAGTCGTATGTATGTATGCTTTAATGTATTAAAGGTATGGATTTAGACCTACTATGTGTTAAATAGTTTTCTATTTTAAACTAGGTTACAAGAGCTTACTTCACATGAACTTTAGTGGGTTGGTTGGAGAGAAGGGTATAGGCATTTCATCAGGTTAGATTCTAAATGGGAAAGCAAGAGGCATTCTACTGACTGCTTGTGGTTTAGATGCTGATGATTCCCTCTACCTCATTGCTTTTGGTTTAACCCAAAAGGAGAATACCCATAATTGGAGTCTGCAGTGGCTTCAGATCTTCCTTGAATTAGATGATGGCTTATCTGTCACTTTGATGTCTGATATGCAGAAGATAACAAAGTATTTTTTTAGCCTAATATGATTTGTACTATATTGACTTATTGAGTACTTTTATAGGCTAATTAGAGCAAATGATGGAGGGGAGAGCAATTGAAGAAAAATTTCTCTGTGTAATATCCTAATTTTCTAATTTGGTAATTAGCTGTTGATAAGGGGTGGATTAGTAATTAGTAAATGACTAGAAGTTTGAATGGTTGTTTGATAATTTGACTCCTTGAGATGTCGAATGGACAGAAACGATTGGAAGAATCACGTCTTGAAATGAAGCATGTAGGCATAGTGAGGATTCCCCTCATTGTGCCATACGTCGTGGCACAAGTTGCTTGCATTGTGGCTCATGACAAAAAATACAACTTAATAAGTCATGAATTGGCATGAGAGTTTAGAAGGTAAGGGAAGAGAAACACAAAAGAGAGAGGAAAGGAAGGCTTTAGCTATTAGGGCAAGGGATTCAGAGTATTATAAGGCACTTTTGACTAGTAACTTATCAGGCATGCTTTGTATGACTCTTACCTCCAATTCTATTATAATTTCTCTTGGTATGAGTTATAGAGAAATTGAATCGGGAAAATTTAAGGGGCTAGTTTCTTATCCTATAGTAATAAAAGGTTCTCGAGTTAAATTAGAGCTTTGTGATTGATTTAGATTTAAATGATAAAACTTTAAACCTCTAAGCTTAATTTAGCCTTAAATCAAAGGTAAAATGGGGTGGAAATGGTGTAAGGGTAAAATGGGACTGTTTAAAGTGATGTAAAGTAGCAATTGAATGGTGATGAACTTAGATTGGCTAAATGGAAAGAAATGAATGCTTAGTTATAGCTTAACTAATAATAAAGTGTTTTTGGTCAATTGGATCAATTAATTAATAGCGCCAATCATGTGTAGATTGACATATTCCTCATGTAGAGTAAGAAGAGAACATGGTAGAGACAAGTAAGCGATTGAGAAAGTACCACGGGTAACCTTTCTTGTGATAGAAGAGTTAAGGTAACCAAATAATTTCCTCTGTTTGACTATCTAGTTTATGAAATTATTTTAAATTAAGTATGTTTTATGGCATTGCGTGAATGTTACATGAAAAAGGGCTTTTGATCAAATATATGAGTAAAAACATGTGATTTCATACTACATGTGTGTAAATATATATATATATATATTATGTATTGTGGATAAATGTATAAATGTGAATGTGAATTATGAAAAGCATGATCATAGAGGTGGGAGTTCACCCATCTGGAGTGCAGTGAAAGATTATATAGCAGTATTCTCCTTAGTGCCCAACGGGGTGTGGTGTTGGAGAATTGTATCTCCTTAGTTCTTTTCAAGGTGCGGTATTGGAGATTATCTCTTAGTGCTTATTGATGTGTGGTTTTGGAGATTTGGACTCTTTAATATTAATACGATACAGAGTTAGAGTCAATGACACCTCATTATGTGTATTGGGGGAAACCATAGTTTGAAAGTGAGCTCAAGGCTAATGAGAGTCTATATTAGTTTAAGGCGAGCCTATAGTTTCAAGTTGGAGTGATTTGGAGGTTCGGTTGGTGGTGATTATGCTATATGCTAGAAAAGTGGTGAACAAAGTTGTAAAAGAGGTAAAATGATACGTTAATGTGATTTAAAGTGAAATATATGTTATATGTTATGTTTACATATATATTACTTGCTTATGATTGCATGTCATAGTCAATAGTAGAGTTATTTTATTATTGAAATTATTATCTCACCTCGTGATTACATTTTTACAAGACAAAGTAGTGATCAAGGCAAGGAAAAACAGTCAGCATCGGCATAATGGTGTCGTGGCTGTGATATCTTTGAGTTTTGTGTAATGAACATTACTCTTATGTATATTATTTATATAAGTTATCATAGGAATTGCTGCATGTTTAAGTTGTAATTTTAAGGAAATTGTAGTGATTTTTGTGAATCTTAGCCCATACATGAAAATGTATGGTGAAATAATTAACTGGGGATAAGATATAGTTGTGAACATGTTGTGATTATATAAAGGAGTGACTTTCTAGTGAACTTGCGGTGATTATGGCTTATGCC